GGGAATAATAAATATTGAAGTAGGTAAGTACGCCATAATGTAGCTGAATCAGCTAAGCACTTTACAGTGATAAATACACACCAAGTTATTAAATTGGGTTCCATTATACCTGAGATGGAAATCTATATGTTTATCCTTACTAATGGTTAAATAAGTTTATTTGTTTGTCGCCTTATAGTGCCTTAACAACTTAACTAATTTGGTATATACGTACTATGGAAGGAAGGCTTTAGGCTACTTTTTATGCTGTTCAGTAAACATATCCCTATCACCTGAACGATGTCGTGGGTAAAAGTTAGTATGTAATAAAATTATAAAGAGATAACGTTTGTGTATAGGAATGACTTAGAAAAAAATAGATAGGTAATTTTTAAAACGGGATCTTAAAACAGCAATAGAAGCTAAAACTTGACTATTATAGTTAAAATATAAAAAAATAACAAATGAATTAACTGTCACCTTATAAAAATAGTATGACAAGTCTAAACCATTTAAATTTTACATTATTTTTACTATTTTAAACGATTAATACTTTTATACAACTACCCAAAAGCAATATACTGTTACTATAACTACATGTAGGTATTTTTAATGGGTGATAATGGAATGGTAACCCTGCCTGCACTATCAGTATACGCTGGCGGGGCTCCAGTGAGAAATGACAAATGCGGTTAAAATCAGGTCATTTAACCCTTCCTGACGAATACAACTAGAATTAACCACGATGGTTTCCAGTGAAAACCGTGTGGAGGTCGACCTCATATGGTGCTAGCAATAGGATTATCAATTTTCATTACTAACAGTTCCTTTTCGTCCTACTATATGTAAGTTTATAATATATACGAACGTGCTTTCTTTAGCTATTCATCAGAATCAAAAACTTAACAGATATTATTGTTGCTTTTTTTGCTGCTTCAACAAATTTACAACATAATAATAATGCAAGCATTAATTTATTTTTATAAACGGACGCGTTATAACTTATCATTTTATGTAAATAATTTTCTATAAATATGTTTTCGTATTATAGCAAGTGTCGCTAAGAACCTTATATACAATATAGCGGCTATAAAATAAAATAAAATAATTAAATAAATCTATTTTGTACTTTATAAAATTATTAAAAGTAATAAAGAGATAATAACTATAATGATAGATACATTTTTTTTTTTCTAATAATTTTATAATACAAGTAGAACGCAAAATATTTCAATTTATTCTTATTAAAGTACAAAAACGTAACAACAAAGTAAGACTCCGGGAGCCCATTTGTTCATTATTTAGATGCTCTAAACAGCTAATATATTTAGCGAATAAACGCAATAGGCCGGCCAACTTTTAACATAGCTTCATTAACATTCCTCCCCTAGGATGGGCCTCAAACAAAAAGAAAACTGTTATGAAGTTTTGCAACACTCATAAGCACTAACAGTTTAGAGTCGGCGAAGTATCAACGAGTGTATGACTCGGCCTCTGATACGGAGGAACGTGATCGGCATCCGGGCCAGTTCCCCGCGGCCAGAGCAAGCGATATTTGCTTTTTTTTTATTACCGCATCCATATTTCAACAGGAACACCCCCAACAATATTTGGAAGTACTGAGAGCGCTAATGCGTGCGTGGCAGGAAAGATGATTTCGGCCCTCGATTCAATATTCCCAGCGAAACACAAAACCCACAATTGAATTGTTAATAGTGGGAAAACGAGGATATATCAGAAATATATCCAGTTTTGTTGTTCTTATTTTATTCTGTACAGTACAATATTATAGAGGGGAATTAAGTATATCATATTATTTACAACAGGTTGGTGTGAATTCAAATATTAGTTTAATCTGTGATAGTTTAGAAGCACCTCGTATAAATCATAAACGTTTCTCTAATAACGCTTTATTATCTGCCCCCGTATCGGGGGAGCGTGGCAGTGAATATTCGAGTCTAGTGTCGCCGCATTAGTATGCCGCGTACTTCGGTGTAATAATACAAAATAACATTATAGTTGGTAATAATGTAGATACAAAAGATAAGCGAATTTCCGAGCCACGAATAAAATAATTGTGGTAACTAAAATTAAATTATGTGATGATAAATAAAATTTATTAACTTACATGATTATAAGATATTTTAAATAAAAAATGGGAAATTTCAACAAATGTTACTGCACTAACATGCACTATCTGATGCTCTCTATTTGTGTATATTAGATATGAAAAATACTCACAACTAATTAATCTGCCTTTACATCATCACCTATCATTCCTCGCTGATGCCCTGCCGGCATAAACTTTAAGCGATAACGGGATTACAAAAAAAATCTTAATCCTCAGAATTGAAAATACATGAGGAGTATCATTAACATCGCATTATATCCTTTCATTTCTATGGAACTTTAACTTTCCATCAACTAAGTCAACAACTTATTTGCTATTATCTAATTAATTAAAAATACAAAACAGTATCTCGACACACACCAACCTAAAGTTACTTAATGAAATTTTATCGTAGGGTAATGTCTTAGGACATGCAGAATACTTTTAAGAACACTGTTTACCAGAGGAAATCTTTGTACAAAAGTTGTTTGCTTGGATACCTCTGTCCTATTCGTGTACTAGCGCGAAGCAGTTGTGTTTGCATGGCTGTGTTTCGGTTTGAAGGGAGGGATATAGCAGTGTATTTACAAGGTACAGAGGCAAAACACCTTAGTCCTCAGGAATAGCAACACATGGAAAGATATCATGGGCAAAACAGTGTACTCTGTTATGCCCATGGTATTGTTTTATGTCCATAGGCGGCGGTTACCAGTTGTCATCAGGTAGGCTGTAAACTTGTTTGCCATTCTAAGTTGCATAAGTAAAAAAGAATATTTTTTTTATAAGGTTACAATCTTTGAAAATCCTATAAATGATTTCGATATAGTAGTGTCACAGCTGTAAATACCTTATTTTCAAATTTAGTTTACCCATGTCATTACCATAAAAATATCTTTACAAAAATACGAAAAATTTACACTCTGCAATCCTACAACAAGATTTCATAGCCCCAACTAGTCGAACAACTCTGTAATTAAATTTGTGTACTATTTCTGTAAACGAATGCAAACTAACTAACCTATTTCGATCACTTATTTACAAGACGATAGTATTCTCTTATTCTATTTGTGGACACAAATAGAATGTACTATATATTATAGTACAAAATAACGACAGGTTGGAAATACGATGTCAGAAACAAGACTGAAAACTAATTACCCAGGTGTGTATGTTACATAAATGTGTGCTTATGACAGTATAGAATTTAGAAACAAATTAATTACATATAATACTAGATTTTCTTGCATTTGTTATTTTACTTTAATCACAATTTATAGATATTTAGTACTTCAATTGAATTAAATACAATATTTTTTCTAATAACATTTTTATAATAGGATATTTGTAATAATTCTATAATATTTCATTTAAGTAATTTAATTCTCGATGTCGTGTGATTCTGGCATAGAAAAGGCCACCTCTTCCTTTAATGTGGATGTCGTAAGAGGCGACTAAGGGAGTGCGAGGGATAGGCTACAGCAGACCTGGGCAAATGGCGGCCCACGGGCCAGATGCGGCCCGCGGTAGAATTTTGTCTGGCCCCTGAAGCATTTTTAGATAAAATATTAAGCAAATATTATTATTACTATTCGAAAATATAATTATGATATATTATATATACAATTACAGTATGTATAATAGTTGCACAGTTTTATTAGTTATTATGACTTGATAAATAAATATTTTGATTCAAAAATGTTGGTTTTAAAATTCATTAATTGACATCCTTAGCAAAAATTAAACTTAAAATTAGAAAAAAAACTATTTTGCCCGGGGTCAAATTTTCAATTCACCCCTGGGCTACAGCGTCCCTCTTAAAACATCTCCAAAGCTTAACTGCGATTGCCAATCCGCCTGTCAAGTATGGCAACTACTGACGAAACCTCCCCAAGGGAAGGCTTACATTCAGCAGTGGGCAGTTATAGCCTCATATGATGACAATTTTACTTAAACAGTTAAATATTTAAAACTTACACTGGGGCTGGCTTATTTTCTTATTTATGTTATATGCAGGTATTATACTTGTAAATTTAATCTGTTATATTCATTTTAAGCTAATTACACTCTAAAAGGTAAAAATAATCATATTTTCTTTGTAGCTCTCACCAATAGTTTTCAATACTCTAGTGTATATGTTACTGCAAAAGCCCGTAGATTGGTAAATCTTAGATTTTGCCAGTTAATCTTGAGATTTAATATGAATTGACAAATGTATATGAAATTTATTAAATATAATGACTTTTTTTATTCAATTTTTAGATTTACTGGTAAAACCTAAGATTTACTAAAGTATAGGCTTCTATAGTAATATATACATTGTATGTCGCATCTAACTCTAACATACATACGTTGTTTTTTCTCTTTTACTTTACCAATCTATATATTCTTTATTGCACTTAAACAATAAATACAGCGATAATTTTCCCAACAACGACAACAAACAACAACTTGTTAACAAGTTGTTTATTATATTTTTAACTTGCTGCTCCCCGCGACTTCGTCCGCGTTTCCGTTGTTTTTCGTAAAATAAGTAGCTTATGTCCTTCCTCACGGTTCAGTGGTTTTGATGTAACAGACACATTTCCTTTCACTGCTCTGCTCCTATTGATCGTAGCGTAAAGAACAGTATACTATAACCTGCACAGGAATATGAAGAATAATTGTACCAAGTTTCGTTAAAATCCGTCGAGTAGTTTTCGTTTCTATAACGAACATACAGACAGACAGACAAAAATTTTACTGATTGCATTTTTAGCATCAGTATCGATCACTAATCACCCCCTGATAGTTATTTTGGAATATATTTCATGTACAGAATTGACCTCTCTACAGATTTACATATTATAAGTATAGATGTAAAATTTTTACGGTATTTATGTACTGTGACTTTAAAAGTCTGTTTTTATTACAGTATGTAACCAGTTCGCCCGTGGAGTGATAGCTATGCTGGGCGCAGTCACCCCGGATTCCTTTGACACATTGCATTCTTATACCAACACCTTTCAAATGCCCTTCGTCACACCGTGGTTTCCTGAAAAGGTATGTGGTTTATTATGTTGATATAAGTGATTGTTGGCACTTGGTAGAACTTGAAACACATGTTGATATTATTATAAATAAATTTTTTTTATGAATAGCAACAAGCAGTAACTCGCATCAGCTATTGATGTTATATTGGCGAGGCACTAGTGAGAAATAATAGGTAAGGATTAAATCACGTCAGTTGACAAACGACTTGATTAAGAAACAACCATGATGATTTCCAGGGGAGATCACGTGGAGGTTGGCCTGACGAGATATATTGCTAGCAATGAGGCAACAAATCTTTACTGTCATTCCCTTCCCTCTACAAAAATACATAAACTCTTTTATCATTACATATTATAAATCAAAATACCCCGCCACAACTGTCTGTTTGTGTGTTCGCGATGATTTCAAAAATTACTGAACGGATTTTCATGTATTTTTCATTTATCAACAGAGTGATTCCTGATCTGCAATTTGGTTGAAATATGATGATGACTGTTGAAGACATCGAAAAAAATCAAGTCTAAGAGCTTTCATAGAAAAAGCTGCCTAATCCGTTTCAGATACAACAAAACAATATAAGGGGAAACTATTTCTCTTTTATAGGTCTATATAAAGCCATTTATTTATTCATACTAGATGCAAAACGTAAGCATGTATGCTTCACTACCCGTGCGAAGACAAAGCGAGTCGCTAGTAAACTACGAGTTGTAACTCAATTAATTATTTAATTAATTAAGTTACATCACGTTTTTGTTATAAAAATCGAACAATTAATTGTAGGAGGGTAGTTTAAACCAAAATATGCAAATAAGTGATAATATTGTGTGAGATTAAAAATATTATAAGAAGTTGAGAAAGGGCAAATTACATCTCATATATTTATCAATAAAAGGTAAACTGCCAGTTCGTGTTATTAATTATTAATTAGTGAACTGCTATGATTCGTATTTGATTAAAGATTTTTTTAATAAGATTACTTAAACTGTCTAACAATAGGGAAACTAATTTAGGAATAAAACGTAATTATATTAGTATGGTGTCTTAAAAGGCTATTAAAGATCTTTTAAGAACATAATTAACTTATTAACCGAGCGGGACGTATAACTATGTCCAAACGTAAACAACAGCGTGTATGGGTAGGACATATTAATACGTCCTAGAAATATATGTTGCGCCTTGAAACAGATGGGGCGTATAGTTTCGTACAACAGAGCTATTAGTCAAAGATACATGCTTCAACGTGAAATTAAGATGCGGATAAAATCAGTATAATTTCCAGAGGGAGACTTTGTACAGAAATCGATTGCTTGGATACCTCTGTCCCATTCGTGTTTCAACCGTGAAGCAGTTGTGGGATATGGCGTGAATTTACTGGGTACAGAGGAATAACACCTGAGTGTTCAGGAATGGTAACGCATGGGGGGTATCATGGGCGAAACAGTATACTCTGTTATGTCCATAGTACTGCTCATGTCTACAGGTGACGGTTACCACTTTCCATCAGATGGGCCGTTAGCTTGTTTGCCATTCTAAGCTGTATAAAAAAAACATATATACTATATTTTAATTTTTTAAACTCAATATTTCTATTTTATCTGTATACTTTTGTTTATTGTTCTATAATTGTTAACTTTTTGTATATTTTTATTGTGTATCTAAATAATTTTTTTGAACTCTTTATAATTGTTTGTAAACTATTTGCAAAATGTTAATCTTCTTAATTCGACATTTCCATATTTTTATTGGTATTCCTTTCTGTTTCTTTGTAATTTTGTATTTTCCTTTGTGCTTTATATATAAATATACGAAAACGTAGTTTATTTCATAGCCTTTTTGTTTATTTTAAGCATAAATTATATACATAAAATTACGTTTTCCGGGCGTGACGTACTGATACGTCTTTTTGAAAGAGCTTGCGCCAGTTATATACTGCATAATTAAAAAGGGATTTATCCGATTAACAGGTTAAAAATTATGCCTCGCAAAAGAAACAGACTTTGACTGTGACAAAACTAGTTATTTTGATGTAAAAACTAAAGTAATGAAATGATTTAGACCAAATTTCTATAGAACCTTACACGTAAGTATACATTTTCAGATAAAAAATACCAATTGGTTTAGGATCGTCAGAATTAATAGTAGAAGAGATAAGAGAAAAGGTAATAGTCATAAAAAAGAATTGAGAACTTCCTTCTTTTTGAAGTCGGCTAAAAAATAAAAGATCCAAACACAAGTGTCGTTGCTAATTGTTTGGCTAACTATATAAGTACATCTACTTTTCAACGTTAACTATCCACAGATTCGAATCTTTAAGTCGAACACTTTGCCAACATGCTATATCAATAGTTGGAAAAACTACAATAGAACATTGATTTATTATTATGCCGCGAAATATTTCTTTTATATTCTTATAATGAAGTCGTAATAGGATAATACGATAAGCTATATTTAAAAAAAAGGGGTCAATTGTTGGATTATAAAGACTTATACATATATGGATAATATATGGCACAGTGGGATGATTCTTTGGTACAGACTTTGTGAGATTATATTTATTGAAATTTTACTGCATAGAAACTATTCAAATAGCTCTTTACAATACGCTCTTGCAACTCTATAAATCTCAATATCATTTTATCCTATTATATGAGACTTTGAAAAGATGTTCAGTTGTTCACATGTTTGAACATTTGTTACTCAATGACGTTTAAATGGCTGAACGGAATTGAATAAATTTGGAAGGCTACAGGATACAATCGAAATAATTTATATCTTTTTGAGGAGTATTCTACCAGTTAAGCTGAATATTTTCCCCAAAGAAATATAGACCGGAAAACGACAAGAAATTTTGTTCGGCCCATACTGACATGGGGTGACCAGCTGTCAAGTAAGTATGAGAAACTCTATTTTTGTTTTTTATCATTTTTTTCTCATAATTCTTAATAAAAAATGTTCACCCTCACTGCTAAAATACTCATAATTTTGATTTCACTCTAAATATCCAAAATTTTTTATACATTATATTATTTTTCTCTTTTCACGCAGGCAAAATAGAATACAAATTCAACATATATTAATTCATTAACCAATTTTTTCAAACAGTGTATCCATGTATTGGCAAAATATATATTGTTTTTAAATTGATGAAATGGTAACCCCGCCTGCGCTAACGATATAATGTACACTGGCTGGGCACCACTGAAGGATGTTGAAAAGGCACGTCAGTTTACCCATCGTGATGAATTCTGGAATAGAACATGTAGGTTTCCAGGGGAAAGAACTAGAAGGTCGACCTGACAGGCAATATATGCAACAACACGGCAACAACGGGGCTATTGAGCCCCATTATTAACAATCCCTTTTCCTCCCAAGCGAAATATATTAACACCGTATATGCGTATCCAATTAATGATTGACAATAAATTCAGATCTTCTTTTCCTTCTCCCGGGAAGTTGTGGCGGTAATAGTGGAAGCGATGGTAACCGCGTCCTTGGCAGCCCTAAATGCATCCAGGATCGTGACACGTTGAGAGAGAAGCCATCGAACTCGTACTGAACATGTTAGTTGGGCACACCAAAGTCCATAATTGGAGCTAGTTTGATCTTGCTCAGCAAAATTACATGGGTGTTTGGTTGCTGGGGAGCAGGTGATGGCACTTGCCTTCCTACCATCCCCCCTGGTTTCCAGTACTCGACTCTTACTTTAGCAGTGCCCGTGAAACCATCCTTGTGTGACCAGTCTGCTAAGGGCGGTATATTACTTATCTATTTTGCGCAGGCAAAATAGAAAACAGATATAACCAAATATTTTCAAAAATGTATCCATGTATTAGCAAATTATATTTTTTAAATGGAAGATAATGAAATGGTAACTCCACCTGCATTAACGGTAGCTGGCAGGACAACAGTAAAGGCAGGCCAGTTAGCCCATGTGACCATCGTGATGATTACACATGGAATTCAGCACGATGGTTACCAGGAAAGACTATGTGGTGGTTGGCCTGACAGGGTATATTGCTAGCAATGGGACAGATATACTGCATTACTTACGATCCTTTTTCCTACAAATAGTTGTACTTGCGTGACTTTGTTTGAAGTGTGGGATATGGCAACTACATTACAGAGTAATAAGAAATAAGACCTAAGTCCTCAGGAATACTCGTCATGAGTATTATGAGCGACATGTTATGTATACGCATATACCATGTGTACCAATACCATTGGATACTGTTCATATTTATAGGCAACGATCACAACTTTCCATCAGGTAGGCTATAAACTTGTTTTGCCACTTCAAATTGCATTTAAAAATCTAACACTCGATAGCCCTACAATTTTCCGAACACGTTAGAATCGTTAGAACGTTAGTACAGGACGAACATATCACTGTCATACACATTAATTTAGTTTGTTAGCAATGTTTTACAAGACCGGAGAATGAGTTCAGAATTTTAAAATAACACACATGTAATACATACATTATTGTTATTACATTGAGATTCTTTACTCTTTAGATACTACGTGACTGTATTGAGCCGAAATTGAGAAATTTATATTCCACAAGACGTTTACGGTGTTCTTTACGGACCTCGGAAATAATGCACAACCGATTCATCTCTAAAGCTTTACGAGGGTAATCTTCTGTTATTATTTTTTATATAAAATCGTTTCCTCAGTACGGTATAAACGATGAATATCCGAAATTGCGATATATTATTTATACTGCGATATAAATGCATAAGGAAAACATACATAGCCGTCCCAGGAGAAGCGATGATCATTTTTAATACATTATTTCCTATATATTGGAAAAAGATTATTGATATAGTGAATTTTTAAAATGTAACGTGGAACTCGATTTATTATTTAATGCTGCGTATAATATGGTTTTCGATACGTACACAAAATGTTTAGATTGTAAACGGCCTGTATTACTAGCGATTCGACCCGGCTTCGTACGAGTAGACAGAAATTTCGAAAATCTTTTCTTATTTTATAGCATTTTATATGGGATTCTTTAGATTGATGTAACTCTTTTATTTATAAACCGATTGAAATGAAACTAACAATAAATGTTAAGTGGAGCAAACCACATTGAAATCGGTTACACCGTTTCTGAGATTAGCGGGCACAAATGTACAGACAGACAAAAATTCCAAAAATCTTTTTTTTTTTTTGGGTTTTATTGAATTCATAAGGTCCCCTATAATAGATTTTCTTATATATCTTCCATATACAGACAGTGACCAGTTACGATTTTATTATAGGAGTATGTCATGTATTGTTTTATTAAAAAGTAATATATACTATTTAATATATATAGTATTTTTCTATCTTATCTTATATTATTAAAGAAGGTTTATTCTTTAAGAGGATACCACCCACGTAGGTGTAACAATACACAGAGATTTATATATTTAATTTCTATCCCCCATATCCACTTTTACTAAATTAATCAATGTAGTTGCTTTTTCTGATATAGGATATATCTATAGTTGAAAATTTATTTGAAATAAGTACTTTTATGTCCACTATTCGAAATGGAGATTCTTAGTTGGACAATACCTTTTGTGTGTATCTTATACAATGTCTTCATCAATTCTGAAACAGTTACTCCTATTTTGGTTCTATATCAATAAACAAGCTTACATTTTTAGTATTCCTATTTAAGTAAATAAAAGATTAAAAAAATTATTATAAACGAAGGAACTAATGTTCAGAATTGAAATATTGAAGTAAATTCTTTAAAGAAACATTATATTTGTGATCTATAATTATACATCAAAACAACCCAAAAAACAGTATAATCGATTATTTTATACCACAAAACAATTAAGTAATTATTTTATATAGCAACTTTGTTACACCCAATAAATAGGTTTCTTGTATTTGATGAAAATGGAATGGTGTACCCGTAACTGTATACAATGACGGGGCACCAGTGCAGGATAATACGAATAGAATATTTATCCGGCTTGCCTTTGGTCAGATCGCCTATCTTGTCGAATTCACAAAAAAATAACCACGATTTTTTCTAATTAGCTCTTCTAATTCTAATTATTAACAACAGGAACTAACATCCCAATTATTAATGATCCCTTCCCCGTGGGTCTTGTATTATTACCATTGAGGTTTTAGTTTGTAATGAGTTTATATCTAGATATAAATAAATAAATACTTTCCAGGTAATACCACCGTCTTCGGGATTAATCGACTACGCAGTCAGCATGAGGCCTGATTATCATCGAGCTGTTATAGACACAATTACATTTTATGGGTGGAAAAATGTCATTTACATCTACGACTCACATGATGGTAAGTATCTTACTGGTATAATAAAATTGTAATTAGACAATGGTATAATTGGTATCAAGGGTCTCAATAAGAACGATACAAGCTTAATAATAATTAAAAAAAATAATCGTCTTCCTCTCTGTATGTTTGTTCCGGCATCTTGCAAAAACGACTGCACCAAATTGAATGTTATTTTCACAGTTGTATTTCTAGGTTTTTAATATCTGATGTATATTTTATCTTGATATGCTATCTAAAAGTGGTCTATTTTATTGATTTTTCTACTTCTGAAATCCACGCGTACGAAGTAGTGGCCAAAAAGCTGTCGATAAATAATATTTAAGTCGCCTTATAACTACATTAATATGGAGTTATAATAAATTAATAAAGAATTAAAATTATAATAGTCCAAATCTCTTAAAAGATTTAATATCTTAATTAAGCAATTATAAACAAACAAACGACACAAGAATAATGCACAAAATAATGATTGCCTCTGTGAAATGAAAGAAAGTTGTTTAATGGACTGATGATTCGCTCGCTTAGAATAACTTCACCTTATTATATAAATATAATAATAAGAGTCACTCAGACATGTGCTTTCGGGTTGTTCAGCTCTTGCCAACACTGAGTACTTGCACAGACACAACCAGGTAGCCAAAATACTCCATCAAGAGCTAGCTCTGAAGTACGGCCTCGCGAATGAGAGGTTGCCGTACTATAAGTACGAGCCCCAGCCGGTCCTCGAAAGCGACAGCGTAAGGCTCTACTGGGACCGATCCATCATCACGGACAGGACCGTTCTTGCGAACAAACCTGATATCGTGGTGATGGATCGGGCACTCTCGAGGGTGTTTTTGGTGGATGTCACCATACCGCATGACGAGAACCTCGTGAAAGCCGAAACCGAGAAGAAGAGAAAATATCTCGACCTGGCTCACGAGGTGACCGAAATGTGGGGGTGACATCTACCGAAATCATCCCAATCGTTATGTCGGTGAACGGTCTTATCCCAACCAGTCTGGAACAACATCTCAGACGGTTGGGATTCCGAGGCGGCTCACTCCCGGGAAAGATGCAGAAAGCGGTGCTCTTAGATTCTGCCCGCATTGTACGCCGGTTTCTCTCCCTGGGGCCCTGAACCCCGGCCGACTGTGCTTCTGCCGGGGGTTAGTTGCCATCTCCTCTCCTTAAGAGGGGAGATGAGAATTTTAGTGAAATTAAAAAAAAAAAAAATAATAATAATAATTTTTATTTCAGACTTTTTGGTCCATTAAATATTTATTAGTAACAATATTCTTAAAAACTAATGTTAGTAAATTTACATACACAATACACATACACACACATACACACATACAATATATTAAGTAGTATACAGATAATCACCGCTGCACAATTCCATTGGAAATTGCGCAGCAGTGATTAACGTACACACAGTCCAGCCTGCTTGCTATCATACTCAGGATGCTGTTGGTGCTGGCACGTACTCTGCGCACCAGGGATGCACACCTTTTTCGCATCGTGGCATAAAAACAATCTACACGATGCTCAGCGAACATCCCTGACGCGCTGCAGAATCGCGGCAGCCCCATCAACACCCTGAACGCGTTATTATATTGGATACGGAGGTCGCTGTAGGATTTTTGAGTATATACAGCCCACAGGTTGCATGCATAGAAAGATGTGCAATGTGATCTAAATAACGTAATTTTAACTTGTCTAGAGCACCGCGCAAACCTGCGTGCTATCATATTCGCCCTCACCGCCAGCGCCCTCCGCTCCCGTTCAATGTCATCATCATCTTTGAGATCCGAGGCCAATTGATGTCCTAAATATTTAAATTTATACACCCTCTTCAACGCTATACCCTTCAGTTTAATATCTGGAAAGCCTATTGAGTTTTTGCCTCTGCTCTCAAAGACCATGACCACACTTTTCACAGCATTGTATATCAGTCCGTGGCATGCAGCATATGACTCGCAAATAGCCACGAGTTTTTTAAGCCCACATATCGACGCGCTGAGCAGCACCATGTCATCAGCATAACTTATATTATTAACATTAATGCCGTCTATGTGACAGCCAATAATAAATATATAATAGACAGAGATGTTATTAAACAAAACTATAATATTACCATAAAAATAGTAAGTACATAGTTTTTTTATGATATTACCCAGTGAAAATGAATTTTATGCCGTCGACGTGAGCGCATTTTGCTATGTTAATGTTATACCATACTTGTATATTAGCATGGCAAATTTTCTAAGAACAATTTTAACGTAAGCACGCGAGCTACCGATGTTCACCAGACGTGTATTTAGGTCGGTAGATGTCGCAATTTCATTTACTTTGCGTGCAAATTTTTGTCATAATTATGTAAGATCAAAAGAGCGTACTTGTACTCCGGCTAAATTTCGATTCGGTGTTTTAACATGAAATCTATAGCGAAAATATTTCGAAGAATATAATAAACATTTACTCGTATTTAGATACGTAGTAATGCATTGATTGCAAGGTGTTGTAGATATATTATAAAAATTTTAAATAAATATATCAATAAAACTTTTATTTGGAAAAATTTGAAAGCAGTATCACATACTATCGATTGATTTGCTATAAATAAACAGCATTTATAATATCATACATAGTAATTAGTAAAAATATGGTAAGCATATAAAAAATATTATGTTATGGAATTTTTCAAAGATCGAAAAAAAAATATAAAATATGTTCAATATCGAAACATTCAAACGAATAAAGTAAAATTCGCTCATGATTCAAGGAATCGGTAGGAAATATCAAACCCACCAAAAAGCTAATTGGATTTTTTATAGTATTTCCATGAAATTCACTGATTTATTTCCTTTTTTTTTTTAATAGATACAAGTGGCTTCAGGCTGTTTTGTATAATGATGTATGAGTCAACCTGTATTCAGCACTGGTCTATGAATGGTGAAAAATTAATTAATCATTCCCTAGTATGAATTAATAATAACTATGTAATAAGATGACTATTTGTTTATTTAATTTATTATTGTCATTCTAAGTTACATAGAAAAAAAAAGTAGAAACCATTTTTTTATAAACAATTAACTGAACCTCGGACTTAATATACTGAAAGTCAAAAGCACGAAGATTTTCGTTTTCGCCGCTCGAGCTCACTTATATACCACGAATCATCAATCAAGCGATGAACTTTTTCTTCAACCTTTCCTTATAAGAACAAACGTAGGTACACGTAAGCTTGGCTAGAACATAAATATTTTGTTAAGCGTTACCCATTACGATAAATTCATTGTCTTACACCAAAAGTAACTGCACAGTTTTTCTGTACACACTCTCATACTTTGGGTATTCAGTAGTTTTCTTAGAGATATTTAGTATTTAGATATTTTACATTGTAAAAAACAGAATACATACATTGTAATAAATTAAATATTTTGAGTTAGTAAATTGATACAATAATTTACTAACTCAAATTGCTCCATTTGTAAATAAACAATTCAATATATAAATCGTAATTCAATAAATAGTTTCTAATTATTAGATGCAGAAAAACAAATACGAGTATTATATGCAAATAAATCGTGTCTAAACTTAATACAATTGTTTTTTTTTCTATTTTTTTTTTTTTGCAGAAGAATAATAACTTTCTATTATTAATCTGTTGTTATGTATGCAATACTATAGTTAATATTCTTTACTGCACTAAAACATATAGTAATAATAACACTTAAAAACAATGTAACCAAAGGTGAACTTATCTCTAAAAGAAATCTCTTCCAGTCAAACTAACACAGTAGAATCAGTAGTGCAAAACAAAAATCTAAACAACAATAATAAATATTTACAGAATATACGAGTACATTCAATGACTATTTACCAGAGTGAAACTTTACAAAAGTGGTTTACTTGGACACCTCTGTCCCATTCATGTTTCTAGCGTAAAGCAGTTGTGTTTGAATGGTTGTGTTTTGATTTGAAGAGTCGAATATGGCAGTGAATTTACAGGGTACAGAGGAATAACACCTGAGTCCTTAGGAATGGTAACGCATAGGGAGTATCATGGGCGAAACAGTATATTCTGTTATGTTCATGGTACTGCTCATGTCTGTAGGCGACGGTTACCACTTTCCATCTTTGCCATTCTAAGTTTCATAAAAAAAATAGAAAACAATATTATTATATTTAATAAAATAATATTAATCAGCACTAAAATTCACTTATTATTAAAATCGATTTATAATCAGTCAAAAAATCTGTAATGTATTTTAAATAAAAAAAAAAATTCTTTTCTGCTTTCCCAATAAACAAATATAATGTGGTTCCTATAGAACAAACGCCAAAATATTCGCTCTTTAGTTTGTGGTTTCAGTGTTTATCGAAATAAATGGACCAAATGAATTTATTGGCTCAATAAAGACTAATTAATTTGCTTTTATTAGTTAAATGTTGTCTATTAAAGAACAAAAATTAGTAAACTATTTTAATAATTAATTATATATACACGTTTTTTTTTATAAGTGAAAATGGCATGATAACCCCGCCTGCGCTACGGTATACACTGGCGAGGTACCAGTAAGAGGTGATTAGATGGGGATGACAAGGCAGGTCATTTAGCCCGTTGTGATGAATTCAATTATAAATTAATCACGATAGTTTTCAGGGAGGACCGCGTGGAGGTCGACCTGATACGGTATATTGATAGCAATGAGGACTAACCTGCCCATTATTAACACTCCCTTTCCTCCTATAAACACGTTTATGCTACCACGTGCTTTAAGAATAAAATATCGTTAGCGATATTGACAATCTTTATCGATTTATTAATACACTTGCAAGGGGGGAAGGGATTGTTAGTAATGGAAACTGAGAATCCAATTGCTAGCAATATAGCCAGGTCGACCTCCTCGCGGTTCCCCCTGGAAACTATCATGGTTAATTCCTGATGAATTCATCATGATGGGCTAACTGGCCTGTTTTCATTCTCATCTATCACCCTTCACTGGTGCTCC